TTACAGAAATGTGGGACCAAGTTCAATTTGTTACTTTATGATAAAATAAAGCAAGTAATTTATTTTCTTATTATGGGCCTGTTTATTCATGCCCAAAATGAGAATAGAATTTGATGAGCTATAAATTTCAAAATGGTGTGATCATCATAAAAGGATGCGTTTGGTGTTTTCTAAAGATGCCTGTTAGTTGGTTTTAAAGATTATCTTAGTCTGACCCTTTGTTTGGTTTCTCTATAACCTTTGCTTGGTTATCTCTGAATATATTTGATACTATCCAGTATTTATCATTTTCCTCTGGTTTATTTCACTTGGGGTAATACTTTCCAGCTCTATCCATGGTGCCACAAATGGCATGAGTTTATATTTTTTGATCACTGAGTAGTATTGCATTGTGTATATATATACCACATCTTCTTGATCAAATCATCTGTTTTGGGTCATTAAGGTTGTTTCCATATGTTGGCTATTGTAAAAAGTGATTCAACTAACATAAGAATGAAGGTATTCTTCCTAATTAGTTTTTTATATTTGTCAGGTAGCTGACCAAAGAATTGAGGCATCCAGAGGGAGAAAGAAAAGGGAAGGGGTGGGAACAGGGTAAGAAGAATGTACAATGGACTATAATGGAGGACTATGGGATCTTTTGTTGTGGGTATGCTATGGTGACTACATCTGAAAGGGTACATCCTATACTTCAAAAATCTTAACAATGATGTAAACCATTAGCACTTCAATAAAATTTTTATTTTAAAAAATAAAGGTGACTGATAGAGGTAGATCATATCTCTGCTCATAGTTTAGATGGAATAAGGGAGGAATATGCCCAATGAATTAGTAGAGGTGGCTGAACTACTAGAAAACAAGAAATAATGATTCCATTGAACAAAATCCTTCTTGGAAAGGATAGAAAAAATCTTAAGTACCACTCTGATTTCTAGAAATATTCAAAATATTTAGAGATATATGTACAATAGTCATGACATAGGAGGTAGTTATTTTTTCTGACACTATCATTTCCTGATTTTACCTATTCTTAAAAGCCACCATTTTTTGTTTTATTTTAATCCATCCCACTGTATTTGATGACAAGATAGTCAAGTATCAGTATAACTTAATGGCACAAATATAGTACAATACTAATGAGTTTTTGTCTTATTTCATTTGCTGATTGTTTCTATGTCTCTAAATATATCTATATGGTGACTTCTCAGTTTTACACATTTTCTATTCATTTCTTCTATAATAGATGAAGACTTAGTTCATGGCATCATCCCCTCTCCTCTTTTCCTGATAAGATTATTTGTTTTCAATTCATCTATTAATTATATTTGTAACTTAGAGGTATTTTATATGTAACATTTCTTCTAGTGATACTACACTCAAATTATTCCCTGTTCATTTTTTCTAGTTTTTCTTTTAAATGTGCTCATTTATGGTCCCCTGTAATGGCATTTCACACAATGCTATAACTTGGTCTCCATCCTCATTCCATTGTGAACACTTATTTTCACAGTAAATGTGTCTCCTAATTCCAGTGAATTTCTACTCTTTTGTTTTTATTTCTTGCCCTTTGACTGCTATTTCTTTAGCTCATTTTATGACAATTCTTTCATTTACATCAAACTCAAAGTTGTTTTCTATGATTCAGTTCTCTGATCTCTACTATTTACATACTGACTTGGGAGCATGCACCTATTAGTATGGCTTCTAGTCTCATTTTTCTATTAGGTATTTTCAAATCTACATATGTAGACTATTTTTTCACCCATACCCTTGTCTGCCACCTTTATATTCAGTCACTCTCTAAATTTCAATGGACAAGAAAAATGACTTTGAGGTTTAATTCCACTGTTAAGTAGCATGTGTGAGTGCTTTGGGTTAAGTCATCTGAAAATTAGGATAATAATACCTAAACATATTCATAACAACAAATTATTATTTTGTTCAAATTAAGAAGTGTATGAAAGGTTTTTGTAAGTATGAAAGCATTACACAAATCTCTATGGTTTTATTAATGTCACTACTGTGTTTATGCTCTCATTTATATTGCTCTTTTGTCCCTGTGATTGGTTTCCTCTTCAGTAGTTATCTTATTAAAAGTTCAGCTTCCCCTAAGACCACTTACTTTTTCAGTTGAAAGTTCACATTTAGTAAAATTAAATTTCATTTCTGACAACAAATTTTTGAGCAATTATTCTGTTTCAATCACCAAGTTAAACAGTGGAGATACTCAGATGCATCTATGATCTTACTTAAACTCTTCATTTGCAACTTGTCCTTCAGTTGTAACTAATCTTCTCCAGAAACATTCAATATATCACATATGCTCTCTATCTTTACATTCTTTCTCAAATAGTTTATTCCTGAAATCTAGAAAGGTAGACATTCAGAAAAAGAATTTTCAGCATTTAGGGTGAGAGCACTCATTGAAAAGGGAATAGAGATTTCCCTTGTCTTAACAATAGCTATCTAAAAAAAGCTTACAGAAAACATTAATAAAGTCAAGGCACAGTCCCATTAAATTGAGAATAAGATTTAGGATACATTAAAAATAGTTTATTCTTTTTCACCTTTCACAAACTTTGTTGGATCCTGTTTATTCATAATATTATAAATTCTGAACATTTCTCTTCAACTACACTACTATCAACATGGTCCCAGACCCTACTATCTCTTTATTACTGCAGTAACCTCCTAAGAAATGTTCCTGCTTTTAATCTTTCTCTTCTATATTATCAGCACTGTAAACTGAGTGTTCTTTCGGAAAATTTACATCATATAATATTGCTTTTTTACTTAAAATTCATGTTTTTTTTTTAATTGTGGTAACATTAGCATTCTCCTCGTCAGTTATCACCACCATAGTGTATCCACCACCAAATCATCCATAGTCCATCACCAAATTCCATTGTGCCTCTTTCCCTCTTTTTTTCTTAAAGATTTATTTATTTATTTATTTACACAAGCACTGGGTACAGTCAGAAGCACGGGAGGGCGAGAGAATTCACCATAGCCAGAGCGGGGAGCAGAGCAGGCAGAAGGACCAAAGTACACTGCTGAGGGGAGCAGCGGGCGTCAGGAGAGGTCTGCGTGCCATGTGGGACACTCCTCCGGTGGCTGGGGAGCAGCCGGGATCAAACAGGCACTGCAGAGGCTGCAGGCTGCTTCGTAGCCCAGCGCTCAACCGCTGCGCCACCAGGGAGGCCCCTTCCTTCTTTCTTTCTTCCCCTCGCCTACACTCACCTTTGAATTCTTCAATTCTATAGTCATTTTTCAAGGGTTAGATATTGAGTTTGTGTTTCTCTGGTTCTTAGTTTGGTTTCTCTATATTCTATATATTACCAACATTATACTTTCCAGTATTTATCTTTCTCTTTCTGGATTATTTTGCTTAACACAATCCCTTCCAACTTCATATTGCTGCAAATAGCATAAGTTGTTGTTTTTTTTAATCTCTGAATAATCTATTATGTATATACTCCATATCTTCTTCATCCCCTCATCTGTTTGTGGTCACTTAGGTGGTTTCTACATCTTGGTTATTACACTCTTGTAATTAACAAAAGAGTGCAGATTTCCTTTTCAATTAGTACTTTTTGTGTTTTTTGAATAGATACCTAGGAATGACAATTTCATTCGTATGTGAATTATAGAGTGACAAAAAGAAAATACAGAAGAAATTAAATAAAAAAAAACCCCTAGAAATCTTTAGAACTGTGTCTATCAGAGGGGGAGAGTGGGTGCCACGTAGCAAAGGGAAGAGGGGTCCAATGGAGTATTGTGGGTGCTTTTGTGTTGGGTGTGGTATGGTAACATATATCTGAAGAAGTGAACTTAAACATCTAACTCATATAATGTTGTAAACAATCATTACCTTAAAAATATAGCAAAAAGATATTCCTAAAAGTGATAAAAATGTGATTCTTGGCCTCCCCAGTGGCACAGCGGGTTGAGCGCAGCACTGTGAAGCTGTCTGCAGCCTCTGTAGTGCTGGTTTGATTCCCGGCCAGCCAGGAAGATACCCTCATGGTGGGGCAGAACTTTCCTGCCTCGCCCGCTGCTCTCCTCAGCAGTGTACTTTGGTCTGTCTGCCTGTTCTGTTCCCCCCTCTGTCTCTGGTGAATCCTCTCACCCCACCCCCGCACCTCTAGCCTGTACCCCAGTTCTTGTATAAAAATAAATAAATCTTAGAAAAATGGTGATGCTTAAAGGTGATTGTGATTGTCTAAAAGAAGAAAACATACTAATTACACTAAATGTACAAAATTAGGAAAATAGCTTAGTAAAATATAAAACATAAGATAGTATGCATTCATTGAAATAATTATGAAATCTTAAGAATTAGAGGTAAAAGTTTATTCTATAAAATTAAGAGAAAGTAGCAGGGAAAAACAACTTGCTATTGCAAGTTAGAAAAATTTTGCATGCTTGTAGGCAAACAGTAGATAATAGTATACAAATATGGAAATACTTGATTTATTGTGGTGGAATTTAGAGTGATTATCAATTATTTCTAGTGTATTTTTGCATTTTATATTCTCAATTTTGAATGTTCTAGTTCATTAAAATAGTTGTGAGATCCTAGAATCATAATGTAATATTACTGAGACTTGGTTTTTACACAATTATTAGTAGTTGGACTAACATTCAGTACTTCTGAATGTTCAGTGTTTGTTACCATCAGCCAGGGCAATTGATAAACATACACACTGTTGATGCCATCCCAGACTTTGACTTTGTAGGTCTGGAATAGAGCACAATGCCTTGCATTTTCAATTTTCAATAATAAAAATGATAACCAAGTTCCCATCCATCTATGACATTGTGTTTTGTGTGGTCCTAAACACACAAGGAACCCTCTGTAATTAATAGATAAAGTTTAAGCACCACTAGGAGGAAAATAATAGCAATACAGACTCAAATCAAGAAACAAAATATAACTCAAAAATAATCTTAGCTCTTACATTATTTTAATTGTATTTTTCATCTTTATTCCTCAGCCTGAAGCAAAGTGGATTCATAAACTGCTTTAAAGAACAACTGAGTGTTTGATTTCACAGAATGGCCTTACCACAGTAAACACTAACTACTCCCAAATGAGCATTTCTACTTCTGTGGAACTGTAATAAATAAAAACATGTCTTCTGTGAGTACGAGGAGCTGATATTTTTTGTTGTGTATTTTATAGAGGTTATTTAAATAGTTGTGTGCTTTATTTATTAAATACCTAAAATATTCAGACCAAAATCTGATAGCATTTTATTCCATGTTCTGAAGCTTAATTTTAAGATGTTTCTGAGTTTAGGTTGAAAAGAGCAATGCTCTTTTTTTTTTACATTTTTTTTTTTTATTTTTATTGACCTCATTACTATTTTGGCAGTGTAGGATTTCCACCCTCTGGTGTAGTCACTATAGCACTTATACCACCAAAGCAACCAAAGTGCCCTATCTTAGTCCATTGTGCACTCCCACCCACACTATTCTCAACCCTTCCCCTCAGGTTTCCTTTCAAATTATTGGTTTATATGTTCTTTTGGTAGACACCTAGGAGTAGAATTGCTGAATCATACAGCAGATTCATATTTAGTCTTTTGAGAATTTCATGAAGTTTGCCATAGGGATTAAACTAGTTTACATTCTCACCAGCAATGTGAGAGGATCCCTTTTCCCCCCACACCCTCACCAGCACTGTTATTTCCAGTTTGTTTTTTTTTTTTTAAATATGAGCCATTTTCACTGGTATGAGGTGGTACCTCATTGTGGTTTTGATTTGCATTTCCCTGGTGGTAAGTTACGTTAAACAATGATTTGATGTATTCCCACTTGCTTACATTGTCTTTTGTTTTCCTTGCTGCTGGTGTACTTCAAATCTGAAGAGATATTTCTGAAGCTTATAACATGAAGTGTTTTGCCTATGTTTTTTTGAGTTGATTTTTGTGTATAGTTTAAGATAGTGTCCTAGTTTCATCCTTTTGCCTGTGGCAGCCCAATTTTCCCAACACCATTCATTTAAGAGGCTTTATTTTTCCATTGTATATTCCATCTCTTTTAGCATAGGTTAGGGGTCCATATAATTGTGTTTTTATTTCTTTAAAAAAAGATTTATTTATTTATTTTCTACAAGAACTGTGGTACAGGCCAGATGCACAGGTGGGTGAGAGGATTCACCAGAGACAGAGAGGGAGCAGAACAGGCAGACTGACGAAATACAATGCTGAGGGGAACAGCGGGCAAGACAGGAGAGGTCTGCCAGGCCATGTGGGACACTCATCAGCAGGCCGGGATCGAACTGGTGCTGTAGAGGCTGCGGACAGCTTCACAGCACTGCACTCAACCGCCTGTACCACCAGGGGAGACCCTGTAGTTTTATTTCTTAACTCAGTTCTATTCCATTGGTCTGTCTGTTTTTGTTCCAATATCATGCTGTTTTTGCTATTACAGCTTAATAGTATAGTTTGAGTCCTAGAAGTGCAATACTACCATTTCCACCCTTTTTTATTAGGTTAACTTTGGCTATTTGAGTCTTTTGTGGCTACTTTTGAATTCAGTAATTTTGTTTCTATTTCTTTAAAGAATGGTATTGAAATTTTTATCATGATTGCATTGAATCTGTATTTTTAATAATGTTTTATAGCAATCTTCATTTGTATGTCCTTATATTTTTTAAGTTTCTCTTTTCCTTAGTATTAAGAAAAAGTAAGAAAAAGAAAAGAAGAAATCAGATCTTTCACACACTTAAAAGATATAGAGATGCTATATGTAAATAATAATCTCCACCTCCCACATACACCCACAGAGAGTTCTAAATGCAATCATTTACTTTTAGACCTTTTATTCCCGCTTTAGTTTGTTACCATATTTAATGATAAACCACAAGTGCCCCTGGAAAAATGACACATATTTATCAATTATTTTACATAATTCTGTGAATATGCCTGTCACATTCTTTTCTGAGTATATACATAATTAGAAAGAAAAATTAGATTACAGAGAATTTCTAGATCATAGATAGATAGATAGATAGATAGATAGATAGATAGATAGATAGATAGGCAAGTTATGGGAGAGAGAGAGAGAGACACAGAGAGAGAGAGTGAGAGCTTGACCTAGTCTGCACTGCTACAACAAAAATACTATAAACTGTGTAACTTGTAAACAACATAAAACTTTTTCAGTTCTGTGTGTTGGAGGGTGCAAGAACAAGATGCTCGGAAATTTGATGTCTGGTGAAAGTCCACTTTCTGGTTTATAGATGGCCCTTTTCACTGTGTCCTCACATGATGAAAGGGGACTAGGTAGCTCTGTGAGTTCTCTTTCATGAAAACACTAATTCCATTAACAAGGGTTCTGACCTTTGAAAATACCTCCCAAAAGCCATACCTTGGGTAATCTTTTTTTTTTAAGATTTATTTATTTATGCATACAAGAACTGGGGTGTAGGCCAGAAGTGCAGGAGGTGAGAGGATTCACCAGAGACAGAGTTGGAAACAGAACAGGTGGATTGGCTGAAATACACTGCTGAGGGGAGCAGTGGGCAAGACAGGAGAGGTCTGCTGCACCATGTGGGTCAGCTCCCTGGCAGGCCAGAGATCAAACTCGTGCTGTAGTGGCTGGCTATAGTTTGATAGAGCTGTCTTTAACCCCTGCTCCACCAGGTAGGCCCTTTTATCTTGTGGATCTTAAGGACTACCCTTTAGATAATACCATCACATTGATCATTAGGTTACAGCCTATCAATTTTGAATTTGGAAGGGGTCACAAACATTCAATCTGTAGGAATAATAGATATTTAATGTTATATATAGATGTACATATTTAGATTTTTCTTCACTTCACCTAGTCTTATTTATACCTTTCTGTTATAATCTTGAATACCATTTACTTTCAACAATTCTAGATTTCAGATCCAATTCCTAAAGAGATATCATTTTTCTAACCATTTTATAGCCTGTTTCCCAAATTTGCGCTCCCCAAAATATATAGTTTTGTAAATGAGGGAAAAAAATTAAAATTCGATTGTAAAAAGAAAGATTGCACTAAAATCAAAAAGAAAAAGGAAGTTCTCTATGTCATTAGATGGAAAGATCGCCAATATAAATTTGCTTGTGGGCCTCCCTGGTAGCACAAGGGGTTAAGCACAGCACTGTGAGGCTATCTGCAGCCTCTGCAGCACAAGCTCCATAGCCAGGCCACCAGGGAGCTACCCAAATGGCAAGCAGACCTCTCCTGTCTCACACACTGCTACCCTCAGCAGTATCTTTCATTCTATGTGCCTGTTCTGTTCCCTGCTCTGTCTCTGGTGAATCCTCTCACCCACCCCACCCACATGTCTGGCCTGTACCCTAGTTCTTGTATGCATAAATAAATAAATCTTTAAGAAACATATAAATTTGCATGCATTTCCCTGTATTTGTACATAGAAACTGAAGGAATACAAAATAAAATAATAAAAGTGGTTATTTATAAAGGATGATTGTGTATGGAGAAATGAATAGATGAGAGAAAGGAATAAGTTTAGTCTCAGAACTGATATTCAATCAGTAGCTACAGATAGAACTGTACTGATTGGGTACTGATTGTAAGAAAGTTCCTTTCTCTCCACATCCTTGTGAGCACTTGTTATTATTTTTTTTTTCTTTAATGTGGCCATTCTCACTGGTGTGAGATAGTATCTCATTGTGGTTTGATTTTCACTTCCCCGATAATAATTGATGATAAACATTTTTCCATGTGCCTGTTGGCCATTTGCATTTCTTTTTTGGAGAAGTGTGTATTTAGCTTTTCTGCCAATTATTTGATTGGTTTGTTTGATTTGTTTTTGTTGAGTTTTGTAAATTCTTTGTAGATCTTCAATATTAGTCCCTTCTCATATGTATGGTGGGCAAAAATTTTCTCCCATTCAGTGTGGTGTCTCTTCATTTTGGTTACTGCCTCTTTGACTATACAGGAGCTTTATAATTTGCTATGGCCCCAGCTGTTTATTTTCTTTTTATTTTTCTTTTTTTACCTTACTTCTGGAGATGAGTTCTCAAAGGTGATTCTGAAGTTCAGGTAATGGAATATTTGTGTCTAAGTTTTCTCCTACATATTTTATGGTTTCAGGTCTTAAATCCAAGTCTTTCATTCACTTTGTGTTTATTTGTGTACATAGCATGAGATAGTAATTTGTTTTCATTATTTTACATATGGCAGTACAATTTTTTCAGTGCCATTTATTGAAGAGAATTTCATTGTTCCAGTGTATATTCTTTTCTCATTTGTCATAGATTAGTTGACCGTATATGTGTGATTTTATTTCTGGGCTTTCAATTCTATTCCATTGGTCCATGTGTCTGTTTTGTTTCAGTAGCATGCTGTTTTTTATTATAATGGCTTTGTAGTGTAGTTTGAAGACTGGAAGGGTAATACCCCTATTCTTCCACTTTTTAGTCATGAACACTTTGGCTATTTAGGGTAGTTTGTGATTCCATATGAATTTAAGCATTATTTTTGCCATTTCTTTGAAGAATGCTGCTGATATTTTTTTTTTGTTGGAATTGTATTGAATCCACAAAATTCTTGGGGTGAGATGGCTATTTTTGATAATATTGATTCTTCCAATCCATGTCTTTCCACATCTTTGTACCTTCTTCCACTTCTTATAACAATGTTTTATGATTTTCCTTGTTTTGGTCCTTCACCTTTTTTGTTAGGTTTATTCCCAGGTATTTAGGTTTGTTTGTTTGTTTGTTTGTTTTTTGTAAGATTGTAGATTAGATGTCTTTCTTAATTCTTCTAATCATTTTACATAGGAAGGCAACTGAGTATTGTGTGTTGATTTTGTATCTTGACACTATGTTGAACTAATTATTTCAAATAGCTTTCCCATGGAGTCTTTGGGTTTCTCTATGGATATTATCATAGCAACTGCATGCAAATATAGCTTTATTTCCTTTCATAGTTTTCTTATGCCTAATTCTTCTGAACATGTAGAATCCTATGTTGAATAGTAGTGGTGAGAGTGGCTATCACTATCTTGTACTGGATCCTAGCGGAAAGGTTTTCAATTTTTTTCTCCATTGAGAATGATGCTAACTATGAGTTTGTCATATACAGTTTATATTTTGTTGAGATATATTCCTTTCATCCCAACTTTCCAAAGACTTTCATTATAA